GTGCAAGGTGCTGGACAATAAAACTGAAGAAAAATCTGTAGTATGTGTGTGACCACATGGGAGACCTTGCATACATGCAGTTGAAAATTACTATGAGATGTCTCAAAGTCTGGGCTCAGGAAGAGTAGCAGCGCTCAAGAAGTGGTAGCTGTGGAAAGTGCGGCCATGTCAACTGAGTGGTTCTTGGCTGTGAGCGAGTCCGAGTGGACCAACACAATGGCTAGCCTGAAGAGTGTTGGTTCTGCGGAGAAGCCCTTTCCAGTTGGGATTTGGTACAGAACTGCTGAGTTTGCCATTGAGGCCTGCCTGATGCTGCTATGTAACAACAGCTTGTTATTGTTTGTGTTTGTTTGGATTTTGGATGCCCTGGGAAATCTTATGCTGGAGGCTCTCTGCACCGAATCTGCTCGTCGGCTCCGCTTCTCCCCCAGTGGCCACTCTGCCAGCTTGGAGGCGAATGTCAAGCCAACCTCGTATACCAAGCTTCAGCTGCAAGGGGTGTTCTACTGTGTCATCCTGACGCCAAAAGACAAGTTCTCCGAGTTCATCCAGTCTGGNNNGGTGTTACCCTTGAGCAGGGGCGGCTTCGATTCCATGTTCCACCTGTTCTTGCAAAGGATGCCACCAAGTTCCTTCCAAAGGCCAGGGCTTTATTGCCATTACTGTAGCACTGTTTCTCTCTCATGCCTTGCCCCTTCCTCATGCCTGTCAGGCTGTCATCCCTCTTCTGCACGAAATGTACTTCAGTGTGCGTGCCCAGTGTTACAAGCTGCAGTCTGATGTTCGGATTCCAGCAGACCTCACGACCCATCCTGCAAGTGGCATTCAGCTTTTCCTGCCGTGGAAGATGGAAGTTGGCCAGGACGAGCACCTTGGAGATGCAATGGCTCATGGCATTGACATGAGCTTTGGGGAGTTTGTCAGCCGCAACACTGTGAAGGGCAGGACTGGTGGCCAGCATCTGCATTGTCCATGGTCATGTGTGGCGTGGCCGAGTTTGGATATTGCAGGCATCTGCAACTTCATCATGAAGAAGCACTTGGCCATGGCAGTGTTGAAGGTTACAATTCCATGGTGACTTTGCTGCACATACTGTTGTAATATGCAGTGCAGAGGTATCCATAACTTGCCTGTGCTTTAGTCAAACAAAAAAAGGCAGAGCCTGACCAGCAACTCTCTGACTATGTCCTTTGTTGCAGAGTCCATCTTCCCGCATTACCGGCTTCATGTGAATGAGACGATGCTGAAGTTCTTCAAGAAGTATGGCCAGCCTGAGATTGTCAAGTTCATTTTGCGTGCTGAGAAGTATGAGGATAGCATCAGCTTATTCAGTGCACTGAGGCAGCGTAAATGTGTCCTCAAAGAGGAAGAAGAAGAGCTGCAAGATTTCTTGGCTGTGAAACGGGCCAGACTGGCAGCTGTCCGCAAGGAGCTGCAAGCCATCCAAGAACAAGTGGATGCGGAGGAGTGAGTGCTTGGGAAGCGTCAAGCCCTTCTCAGTGTTGTATCTTGAGAGGGGTGAGGGCAGTTGCATTTTGATGCAGCTTAAACAAAGGTGTGGTACTTTCACCGAAAGACTTTTGCATGTTAAGACTTACTTCTCAGAGCTGCAGGCAACTGTGTTTCATCTCAAGTGCCTCGTGCAATGCTGGCAACATGTTTTCAACTGAGCACTCCAAAATGTCAATGCTGCAGGCAGACGCCATGAATGCAGTTGTGCAACTGAATGAATCCGGCTGTGCGCAGGGCAAGCTGTGTCCTTCTGTGCGTGGGCTGGCCCAAGGAAGCTCTCACAGCTTTCCATTGGCACATGAAATGGGAAGTGAAGCAGAGGCTGAGGCTCTGCCATCTGGCTCTGAGACCGCAGAATCATGCGAGTGTGTGGAAGAGGGCTTGCCAAGTGCAACCCTTTGCTGCCAACAGCATTGCTATCAAGCCATCCTGGACGAACACGGCCCCCGGCTTGATGAAATCTCTGTGGCCTTGCGGGAGTCCCGGAACAACGAGCAGAAAACAATGGTTCAGTGTTTTGTTTGAATTCATCTGATTCTGGCACCTGGTGTTCAATGAGTGCCTTCTATCTACCCTTGCATCCAGTGTGGCAGCTTAGGTGGGAGCTACTGCAAAGGTGGTTCAAGGCTGAGGAAACTTCCCAGAGAGGTGTTCGGCAGTATGCCTTTCTTGGTGCTGACATGTGCCGTGCAGCTGCTGCCCGGGTACTTGGTTGCTCTGGACCACGTGTGACAAAATGGACTAAATGGATGCGAGAAGGCCACACCGAGCCTCCAGAGGACCTGAGATCCCATCAGCCCCACATGGAGTCTGTGGAGATGCGTGCCGCAGATGTCCTGCTGGCTTGGGTCTAGGTCTCAGTGTTGAGCTAGCAGCTAGCAAGGCATTTTTAAATGCATGGTCCAACCATCGAAATGGCCAAGGTCCATGAGTTCATGGCAGAGCCCTTGCCGGAAGCCCCAAGCAGTTCTATGGCCAGCTTTGCGCCAGCAGTCCAAGCAAGGAATTTCATGGATATGGCGCAGAAGGCAGAATACTTTGAGAAGGAGATTCGTCATTTGGGCCCCAGCAGCAATC